GGGATATTTCTGTTGGATCCACGTCTCCGGACCCTTCCGGCGGTGAGCTGGCTGTTGCAGTGTCTCTGACCGTTGTACCGTCAGGTGGTTTTTCTGTTGGATCCACATCTCCGGACCCTTCTGGTGGTGAGCTGGCTGTCACAGTGTCTCTGACCGTTGTGGTGTCAGGGAATGTTTCTGTTGGATCCACATCTCCGGACCCTTCCGGTAGTGAGCTGGCTGTCGCTGTGTCTCTGACTGTTGTGATGTCAGGGGGTGTTTCTGTTGGATCCAAATCTCCGGACCCTTCCAAAGGTGAACTGGCTGTCACGGTGTCTCTGACTGTTGTTGTGTTAGGAGGCATTTCTGTTGGATCCATGTCTCCAGACCCTTCCGACGATGAGCTGGCTGTCACAATGTCTCTGATCGTTGTGGTGTCAGGGGGTGTTTCTGTTGGATCCATGTCTCCGGACCCCTCCGGTGGTGAACTGGCTGTCGCTGTGTCTCTGACCGTTGTGGTGTCAGGTGGTGTTTCTGTTGGATACACGTCTCCGGACCCTTCTGGCGGTGAGCTGGCTGTTGCGGTGTCTCTGACCGTTGTAGTGTCAGGGGATGTTTCTGTTGGATCTACGTCTCCGGACCCTTCCGGCGGTGAGCTGGCTGTTGCAGTGTCTCTGACCGTTGTACTGTCAGGTGGTTTTTCTGTTGGATCCACATCTCCGGACCCTTCTGGTGGTGAGCTGGCTGTCACAGTGTCTCTGACCGTTGTAGTGTCAGGGAATGTTTCTGTTGGATCCACATCTCCGGACCCTTCCGGTAGTGAGCTGGCTGTCGCTGTGTCTCTGACTGTTGTGATGTCAGGGGGTGTTTCTGTTGGATCCACATCTCCGGACCCTTCCAAAGGTGAACTGGCTGTTACGGTGTCTCTGACCATTGTTGTGTTAGGAGGCTTTTCTGTTGGATCCATGTCTCCAGACCCTTCCGACGATGAGCTTGCTGTCACGGTGTCTCTGACCGTTGTGGTGTTAGGAGGCTTTTCTGTTGGATCCATGTCTCCAGACCCTTCCGACGATGAGCTTGCTGTCACGGTGTCTCTGACCGTTGTGGTGTCAGGGGGTGTGTATGTTGGATCCACGTCTCCTGACCCTTCCGGCGGTGAGCTGGCTGTCACGCTGTCTCTGACTGTTGTGGTGTCAAGGGGTGTTTCTGTTGGATGCACGTCTCCAGACCCTTCCGGCGGTGAGCTGGCTGTTGCGGTGTCTCTGACCGTTGTGGTGTCAGTGGGTGTTTCTGTTGGATCCACCTCTCCGGACCCTTCTGGCGGTGAGCTGGCTGTCACAGTGTCTCTCACCGTTGTTGTGTCAGTGGGTGTTTCTGTTGGATCCTCGTCTCCGGACCCTTCCGGTGGGGAGCTGGCTGTCACAGTGTCTCTGACCGTTGTAATGTCAGGGGGTGTTTCTGTTGGATCTACGTCTCCGGACCCTTCCAAAGGTGAACTGGCTGTTGCGGTGTCTCTGACCGTTGTAGTGTCAGGGGATATTTCTGTTGGATCCACGTCTCCGGACCCTTCCGGCGGTGAGCTGGCTGTTGCAGTGTCTCTGACCGTTGTACCGTCAGGTGGTTTTTCTGTTGGATCCACATCTCCGGACCCTTCTGGTGGTGAGCTGGCTGTCACAGTGTCTCTGACCATTGTTGTGTCAGGGGGTGTTTCTGTTGGATCCACATCTCCGGACCCTTCCAAAGGTGAACTGGCTGTCACGGTGTCTCTGACCATTGTTGTGTTAGGAGGCTTTTCTGTTGGATCCATGTCTCCAGACCCTTCCGACGATGAGCTTGCTGTCACGGTGTCTCTGACCGTTGTGGTGTTAGGAGGCTTTTCTGTTGGATCCATGTCTCCAGACCCTTCCGACGATGAGCTTGCTGTCATGGTGTCTCTGACCGTTGTGGTGTCAGGGGGTGTGTATGTTGGATCCACGTCTCCGGACCCTTCCGGCGGTGAGCTGGCTGTCACGCTGTCTCTGACTGTTGTGGTGTCAAGGGGTGTTTCTGTTGGATGCACGTCTCCAGACCCTTCCGGCGGTGAGCTGGCTGTTGCAGTGTCTCTAACCGTTGTGGTGTCAGTGGGTGTTTCTGTTGGATCCACCTCTCCGGACCCTTCTGGCGGTGAGCTGGCTGTCACAGTGTCTCTCACCGTTGTTGTGTCAGTGGGTGTTTCTGTTGGATCCTCGTCTCCAGACCCTTCCGACGGTGAGCTGACTGTCGAAGTGTCTCTGACAGTTGTGGTGTCAGGGGGTGTTTCTGTTGGATCCATGTCTCCGGACCCCTCCGGTAGTGAGCTGGCTGTCGCTGTGTCTCTGACTGTTGTGGTGTCAGGGGGTGTTTCTGTTGGATCCACGTCTCCAGACCCTTCCGACGGTGAGCTGACTGTCGAAGTGTCTCTGACAATTGTGGTGTCAGGGGGTGTTTCTGTTGGATCCATGTCTCCGGACCCCTCCGGTAGTGAGCTGGCTGTCGCTGTGTCTCTGACTGTTGTGGTGTCAAGGGGTGTTTCTGTTGGATCCACATCTCCAGACCCATCCGGCTGTGAGCTGACTGTTGCTGTGTCTCTGACTGTTGTGATGTCAGGGGGTATTTCTGTTGGATCCACATCTCCGGACCCTTCCAAAGGTGAACTGGCTGTCACGGTATCTCTGACCGTTGTAGTGTCAGGGGATGTTTCTGTTGGATCCACGCCTCCGGACCCTTCCGGTAGTGAGCTGGCTGTCGCTGTGTCTCTGACTGTTGTGATGTCAGGGGGTGTTTCTGTTGGATCCAAATCTCCGGACCCTTCCAAAGGTGAACTGGCTGTCACGGTGTCTCTGACTGTTGTTGTGTTAGGAGGCATTTCTGTTGGATCCATGTCTCCAGACCCTTCCGACGATGAGCTGGCTGTCACAATGTCTCTGACCGTTGTGGTGTCAGGGGGTGTTTCTGTTGGATCCACGTCTCCGGACCCCTCCGGTGGTGAACTGGCTGTCGCTGTGTCTCTGACCGTTGTGGTGTCAGGTGGTGTTTCTGTTGGATACACGTCTCCGGACCCTTCTGGCGGTGAGCTGGCTGTTGCGGTGTCTCTGACCGTTGTAGTGTCAGGGGATATTTCTGTTGGATCCACGTCTCCGGACCCTTCCGGCGGTGAGCTGGCTGTTGCAGTGTCTCTGACCGTTGTACCGTCAGGTGGTTTTTCTGTTGGATCCACATCTCCGGACCCTTCTGGTGGTGAGCTGGCTGTCACAGTGTCTCTGACTGTTGTAGTGTCAGGGAATGTTTCTGTTGGATCCACATCTCCGGACCCTTCCGGTAGTGAGCTGGCTGTCGCTGTGTCTCTGACTGTTGTGATGTCAGGGGGTGTTTCTGTTGGATCCACATCTCCGGACCCTTCCAAAGGTGAACTGGCTGTCACGGTGTCTCTGACCATTGTTGTGTTAGGAGGCTTTTCTGTTGGATCCATGTCTCCAGACCCTTCCGACGATGAGCTTGCTGTCACGTTGTCTCTGACCGTTGTGGTGTTAGGAGGCTTTTCTTGATCCATGTCTCCGTGACCCCTTCCGACATGAGCTTGCTGTCAGCGGTGTTCTGGACCGCTGTGGTGTCAGGGGGTGTGTACATGTTGGATCCACGTCTCGGACCCCTTCCGGCGGGTGAGCTGGCTGTCACGCTGTCTCCTGACTGCTGTGGTGTCAGGGGTGTTTCTGTTGGATCCACTGCCTCCAGACCCCTTCTGGCGTGAGGTGTGCATACAAGTCACAGTACCCCTGACCGTTGTAGTGTCAGGGGATGTTTCTGTTGGATTCCACGCCTCCCGGACCCTTCCCGTAGTGAGCTGAAGCTGTCGTGCTAAAAGTTCCCTGACTGTTGTGATGTCATCAGGGTGTTTCTAAAGTTGGATCCACGTCTCCGGACCCTTCCGGCGGTGAGCTGGCTGTTATGGTGTCTCTGACTGTTGTTGTGTTAGGAGGCATTTCTGTTGGATCCATGTCTCCAGACCCTTCCGACGATGAGCTGGCTGTCACAATGTCTCTGATCGTTGTGGTGTCAGGGGGTGTTTCTGTTGGATCCACGTCTCCGGACCCTTCCGGCGGTGAGCTGGCTGTCATAGTGTCTCTGAATGTTGTGGTGTCAGGCAGTGTTTCTGTTGGATCCACGTCTCCAGACCCTTCCGACGGTGAGCTGACTGTCGAAGTGTCTCTGACAGTTTTGGTGTCAGGGGATATTTCTGTTGGATCCACGTCTCCGGACCCTTCCGGCGGTGAGCTGGCTGTTGCAGTGTCTCTGACCGTTGTACCGTCAGGTGGTTTTTCTGTTGGATCCACATCTCCAGACCCTTCTGGTGGTGAGCTGGCTGTCACAGTGTCTCTGACCGTTGTAGTGTCAGGGAATGTTTCTGTTGGATCCACATCTCCGGACCCTTCCGGTAGTGAGCTGGCTGTCGCTGTGTCTCTGACTGTTGTGATGTCAGGGGGTGTTTCTGTTGGATCCACATCTCCGGACCCTTCCAAAGGTGAACTGGCTGTCACGGTGTCTCTGACCATTGTTGTGTTAGGAGGCTTTTCTGTTGGATCCATGTCTCCAGACCCTTCCGACGATGAGCTTGCTGTCACGGTGTCTCTGACCGTTGTGGTGTTAGGAGGCTTTTCTGTTGGATCCATGTCTCCAGACCCTTCCGACGATGAGCTTGCTGTCATGGTGTCTCTGACCGTTGTGGTGTCAGGGGGTGTGTATGTTGGATCCACGTCTCCGGACCCTTCCGGCGGTGAGCTGGCTGTCACGCTGTCTCTGACTGTTGTGGTGTCAAGGGGTGTTTCTGTTGGATGCACGTCTCCAGACCCTTCCGGCGGTGAGCTGGCTGTTGCGGTGTCTCTAACCGTTGTGGTGTCAGTGGGTGTTTCTGTTGGATCCACCTCTCCGGACCCTTCTGGCGGTGAGCTGGCTGTCACAGTGTCTCTCACCGTTGTTGTGTCAGTGGGTGTTTCTGTTGGATCCTCGTCTCCGGACCCTTCCGTTGGGGAGCTGGCTGTCACAGTGTCTCTGACCGTTGTAATGTCAGGGGGTGTTTCTGTTGGATCTACGTCTCCGGACCCTTCTGGCGGGGAGCTGGCTGTCGCGGTGTCTCTGACCGCTGTGGTGTCTGGGGGTGTTTCTGTTGGATCCACGTCTCCAGACCCTTCCGGTGGTGAGCTGGCTGTTGCAGTGTCTCTGACCATTGTTGTGTCAGGGGGTGTTTCTGTTGGATCCATGTCTCCGGACCCTTCTGAAGGTGAGCTGGCTGTCACAGTGTCTCTGACCGTTGTAGTGTCAGGGGGTGTTTCTGTTGGATCCACATCTCCGGACCCTTCTGGCGGTGAGCTGACTGTCACGGTGTCTCTGACCGTTGTGGTGTCAGGGGGTGTTTCTGTTGGATCCACGTCTCCAGACCCCTCCGGCGGTGTGCTGGCTATCGCTGTGTCTCTGACCGTTGTGGTGTCAGGGGGTGTTTCTGTTGGATCCATGTCTCCGGAACCTTCCGGCGGTGAGCTGACTGTCCCAGTGTCTCTGACAGTTGTGATGTCAGTGGGTGTTTCTGTTGGATCTACTTCTCCGGACCCTTCCGGTAGTGAGCTGACTGTCACATTGTCTCTGACAGTTGTGGTGTCAGTGGGTGTTTCTGTTGGATCTACTTCTCCGGACCCTTCCGGCGGTGAGCTGACTGTCACATTGCTTCTGACTGTTGTGGTGTCAGGGGGTGGTTCTGTTGGATCCACATCTCCGGACCCTTCCAAAGGTGAGCTGGCTGTCACGGTGTCTCTGACTGTTGTTGTGTTAGGAGGCATTTCTGTTGGATCCATGTCTCCAGACCCTTCCGACGATGAGCTGGCTGTCACAATGTCTCTGATCGCTGTGGTGTCAGGGGTGTTTTTGTTGGATCCATTCCGGACCCTCCGGTGGTGAGCTGGCTGTCGCTGTGTCTCTGACCATTGTGGTGTCAGGTGGTGTTTCTGTTGGACCCACGTCTCCGGACCCTTCTGGCGGTGAGCTGGCTGTTGCAGTGTCTCTGACCGTTGTTGTGTCAGGGGGTGTTTCTGTTGGATCCACGTCTCCAGACCCTTCTGGCGGTGAGGTGGCTGTCACAGTATCTCTGACCGTTGTAGTGTCAGGGGATGTTTCTGTTGGATCCACGCCTCCGGACCCTTCCGGTAGTGAGCTGGCTGTCGCTGTGTCTCTGACTGTTGTGATGTCAGGGGGTGTTTCTGTTGGATCCAAATCTCCGGACCCTTCCAAAGGTGAACTGGCTGTCACGGTGTCTCTGACTGTTGTTGTGTTAGGAGGCATTTCTGTTGGATCCATGTCTCCAGACCCTTCCGACGATGAGCTGGCTGTCACAATGTCTCTGATCGTTGTGGTGTCAGGGGGTGTTTCTGTTGGATCCATGTCTCCGGACCCCTCCGGTGGTGAGCTGGCTGTCGCTGTGTCTCTGACCGTTGTGGTGTCAGGTGGTGTTTCTGTTGGATACACGTCTCCGGACCCTTCTGGCGGTGAGCTGGCTGTTGCGGTGTCTCTGACCGTTGTAGTGTCAGGGGATGTTTCTGTTGGATCTACGTCTCCGGACCCTTCCGGCGGTGAGCTGGCTGTTGCAGTGTCTCTGACCGTTGTACTGTCAGGTGGTTTTTCTGTTGGATCCACATCTCCGGACCCTTCTGGTGGTGAGCTGGCTGTCACAGTGTCTCTGACCGTTGTAGTGTCAGGGAATGTTTCTGTTGGATCCACATCTCCGGACCCTTCCGGTAGTGAGCTGGCTGTCGCTGTGTCTCTGACTGTTGTGATGTCAGGGGGTGTTTCTGTTGGATCCACATCTCCGGACCCTTCCAAAGGTGAACTGGCTGTCATGGTGTCTCTGACCATTGTTGTGTTAGGAGGCTTTTCTGTTGGATCCATGTCTCCAGACCCTTCCGACGATGAGCTTGCTGTCACGGTGTCTCTGACCGTTGTGGTGTTAGGAGGCTTTTCTGTTGGATCCATGTCTCCATACCCTTCCGACGATGAGCTTGCTGTCACGGTGTCTCTGACCGTTGTGGTGTCAGGGGGTGTGTATGTTGGATCCACGTCTCCGGACCCTTCCGGCGATGAGCTGGCTGTCACGGTGTCTCTGACTGTTGTGGTGTCAAGAGGTGTTTCTGTTGGATGCACGTCTCCGGACCCTTCCGGCGGTGAGCTGGCTGTCGCAGTGTCTCTGACCGTTGTGGTGTCACGTGCTGCTTCTGTTGGATCCACATCTCCGGACCCCTCCGGTGGTGAGCTGGCTGTCGCTGTGTCTCTGACTGTTGTCGTGTTAGGAGGCATTTCTGTTGTGGTGTCAGGTGGTGTGTCTGTTGGATCCACGTCTCCGGACCCTTCTGGCGGTGAGCTGGCTGTTATGGTGTCTCTGACTGTTGTTGTGTTAGGAGGCATTTCTGTTGGATCCATGTCTCCAGACCCTTCCGACGATGAGCTGGCTGTCACAATGTCTCTGATCGTTGTGGTGTCAGGGGGTGTTTCTGTTGGATCCACGTCTCCGGAACCTTCCGGCGGTGAGCTGGCTGTCATAGTGTCTCTGAATGTTGTGGTGTCAGGCAGTGTTTCTGTTGGATCCACGTCTCCAGACCCTTCCGACGGTGAGCTGACTGTCGAAGTGTCTCTGACAGTTGTGGTGTCAGGGGGTGTTTCTGTTGGATCCATGTCTCCGGACCCCTCCGGTGGTGAGCTGGCTGTCGCTGTGTCTCTGACTGTTGTGGTGTCAGGGGGTGTTTCTGTTGGATCCACGTCTCCAGACCCTTCCGACGGTGAGCTGACTGTCGTAGTGTCTCTGACAGTTGTGGTGTCAGGGGGTGTTTCTGTTGGATCCATGTCTCCGGACCCCTCCGGTAGTGAGCTGGCTGTCGCTGTGTCTCTGACTGTTGTGGTGTCAAGGGGTGTTTCTGTTGGATCCACATCTCCAGACCCATCCGGCTGTGAGCTGACTGTTGCTGTGTCTCTGACTGTTGTGATGTCAGGGGGTATTTCTGTTGGATCCACATCTCCGGACCCTTCCAAAGGTGAGCTGGCTGTCACGGTGTCTCTGACTGTTGTGTTGAAATATGTACTTCTGGATCCATATGTCTCCAGACCCCTTCCTGACCATGAGCTGGCTGTCAGCAATGTTCCTGGATCGCTAGGTGTCAGGGTGCTCTGCTGGATCCACATCTCGACCCTCCGGTGGTGAGCTGGCTGTCGCTGTGTCTTGACCATTGTGGTGCTTCAGGTGTGTGCTCTGTTGGACACACGCCTCCTCGTGGACCCTTCTGGCGTGAGCTGGCTGCTGTGCAGTGCCCTGGACCGCTGTTGTGTCAGGGGTGTTTCTGTTGGGATCCACGCCCCTGTGACCCTTCTGGCGTGTGAGGGGTGGTCGTCAGCAGTATCTCTGACCCATGGTGTCAGTGGGATGTTTCTGCCGGATCCACGCCCGGACCCTTCCGTAGGAGCTGGTTGGCGCTGTGTCTCGAATTTGCTGTGATGTCAGTGTTTCTGTTGGATCCACATCTCCGGACCCTTCCAAAGGTGAACTGGCTGTCACGGTGTCTCTGACCATTGTTGTGTTAGGAGGCTTTTCTGTTGGATCCATGTCTCCAGACCCTTCCGACGATGAGCTTGCTGTCACGGTGTCTCTGACCGTTGTGGTGTTAGGAGGCTTTTCTGTTGGATCCATGTCTCCAGACCCTTCCGACGATGAGCTTGCTGTCATGGTGTCTCTGACCGTTGTGGTGTCAGGGGGTGTGTATGTTGGATCCACGTCTCCGGACCCTTCCGGCGGTGAGCTGGCTGTCGCGGTGTCTCTGACTGTTGTGGTGTCAGGGGATGTTTCTGTTAATCTTACGTCTCCCCGACCCTTCCGGGCGGTGAGCTGGTTGCTGCAGTGTTCTGACCGCTGTGTACTGTCAGGGTGGTTTTTCTGCTGGATCCACATCTCCTCGACCCCTTCTGGTGGTGAGAGCTGGTTGTCACAGTGTTCTGGACCGCTGTAGTGTCAGGGAATGCTCTGTTGGATCCACATCTCCGACCTTCCGTAGTGAGCTGCTGTCGCTGTGTCTCTGACTGTTGTGACAAGTCAGGGGGTGTTTTTGTTGGATCCACATCTCCGACCCTTCCAAAGGTGAACTGGCTGTCATGGTGTCTCTGACCATTGTTGTGTTAGGAGGCTTTTCTGTTGGATCCATGTCTCCAGACCCTTCCGACGATGAGCTTGCTGTCACGGTGTCTCTGACCGTTGTGGTGTTAGGAGGCTTTTCTGTTGGATCCATGTCTCCATACCCTTCCGACGATGAGCTTGCTGTCACGGTGTCTCTGACCGTTGTGGTGTCAGGGGGTGTGTATGTTGGATCCACGTCTCCGGACCCTTCCGGCGATGAGCTGGCTGTCACGGTGTCTCTGACTGTTGTGGTGTCAAGAGGTGTTTCTGTTGGATGCACGTCTCCGGACCCTTCCGGCGGTGAGCTGGCTGTCGCAGTGTCTCTGACCGTTGTGGTGTCACGTGCTGCTTCTGTTGGATCCACATCTCCGGACCCCTCCGGTGGTGAGCTGGCTGTCGCTGTGTCTCTGACTGTTGTCGTGTTAGGAGGCATTTCTGTTGTGGTGTCAGGTGGTGTGTCTGTTGGATCCACGTCTCCGGACCCTTCTGGCGGTGAGCTGGCTGTTATGGTGTCTCTGACTGTTGTTGTGTTAGGAGGCATTTCTGTTGGATCCATGTCTCCAGACCCTTCCGACGATGAGCTGGCTGTCACAATGTCTCTGATCGTTGTGGTGTCAGGGGGTGTTTCTGTTGGATCCACGTCTCCGGAACCTTCCGGCGGTGAGCTGGCTGTCATAGTGTCTCTGAATGTTGTGGTGTCAGGCGGTGTTTCTGTTGGATCCACGTCTCCAGACCCTTCCGACGGTGAGCTGACTGTCGAAGTGTCTCTGACAGTTGTGGTGTCAGGGGGTGTTTCTGTTGGATCCATGTCTCCGGACCCCTCCGGTAGTGAGCTGGCTGTCGCTGTGTCTCTGACTGTTGTGGTGTCAGGGGGTGTTTCTGTTGGATCCACGTCTCCAGACCCTTCCGGCGGTGAGCTGACTGTCGAAGTGTCTCTGACAATTGTGGTGTCAGGGGGTGTTTCTGTTGGATCCATGTCTCCGGACCCCTCCGGTAGTGAGCTGGCTGTCGCTGTGTCTCTGACTGTTGTGGTGTCAAGGGGTGTTTCTGTTGGATCCACATCTCCAGACCCATCCGGCTGTGAGCTGACTGTTGCTGTGTCTCTGACTGTTGTGATGTCAGGGAGTATTTCTGTTGGATCCACATCTCCGGACCCTTCCAAAGGTGAGCTGGCTGTCACGGTGTCTCTGACTGTTGTTGTGTTAGGAGGCATTTCTGTTGGATCCATGTCTCCAGACCCTTCCGACGATGAGCTGGCTGTCACAATGTCTCTGATCGTTGTGGTGTCAGGGGGTGTTTTTGTTGGATCCACATCTCCGGACCCCTCCGGTGGTGAGCTGGCTGTCGCTGTGTCTCTGACCATTGTGGTGTCAGGTGGTGTTTCTGTTGGACACACGTCTCCGGACCCTTCTGGCGGTGAGCTGGCTGTTGCAGTGTCTCTGACCGTTGTTGTGTCAGGGGGTGTTTCTGTTGGATCCACGTCTCCAGACCCTTCTGGCGGTGAGGTGGCTGTCACAGTATCTCTGACCGTTGTAGTGTCAGGGGATGTTTCTGTTGGATCCACGCCTCCGGACCCTTCCGGTGGTGAGCTGGCTGTCGCTGTGTCTCTGACTGTTGTGATGTCAGGGGGTGTTTCTGTTGGATCCAAATCTCCGGACCCTTCCAAAGGTGAACTGGCTGTCACGGTGTCTCTGACTGTTGTTGTGTTAGGAGGCATTTCTGTTGGATCCATGTCTCCAGACCCTTCCGACGATGAGCTGGCTGTCACAATGTCTCTGATCGTTGTGGTGTCAGGGGGTGTTTCTGTTGGATCCACGTCTCCGGACCCCTCCGGTGGTGAGCTGGCTGTCGCTGTGTCTCTGACCGTTGTGGTGTCAGGTGGTGTTTCTGTTGGATACACGTCTCCGGACCCTTCTGGCGGTGAGCTGGCTGTTGCGGTGTCTCTGACCGTTGTAGTGTCAGGGGATGTTTCTGTTGGATCCACGTCTCCGGACCCTTCCGGCGGTGAGCTGGCTGTTGCAGTGTCTCTGACCGTTGTACTGTCAGGTGGTTTTTCTGTTGGATCCACATCTCCGGACCCTTCTGGTGGTGAGCTGGCTGTCACAGTGTCTCTGACCGTTGTAGTGTCAGGGAATGTTTCTGTTGGATCCACATCTCCGGACCCTTCCGGTAGTGAGCTGGCTGTCGCTGTGTCTCTGACTGTTGTGATGTCAGGGGGTGTTTCTGTTGGATCCACATCTCCGGACCCTTCCAAAGGTGAACTGGCTGTCATGGTGTCTCTGACCATTGTTGTGTTAGGAGGCTTTTCTGTTGGATCCATGTCTCCAGACCCTTCCGACGATGAGCTTGCTGTCACGGTGTCTCTGACCGTTGTGGTGTTAGGAGGCTTTTCTGTTGGATCCATGTCTCCAGACCCTTCCGACGATGAGCTTGCTGTCACGGTGTCTCTGACCGTTGTGGTGTCAGGGGGTGTGTATGTTGGATCCACGTCTCCTGACCCTTCCGGCGGTGAGCTGGCTGTCACGCTGTCTCTGACTGTTGTGGTGTCAAGGGGTGTTTCTGTTGGATGCACGTCTCCAGACCCTTCCGGCGGTGAGCTGGCTGTTGCAGTGTCTCTAACCGTTGTGGTGTCAGTGGGTGTTTCTGTTGGATCCACCTCTCCGGACCCTTCTGGCGGTGAGCTGGCTGTCATAGTGTCTCTGACCGTTGTTGTGTCAGTGGATGTTTCTGTTGGATCCATGTCTCCGGACCCTTCCGGTAGTGAGCTGGCTGTCGCTGTGTCTCTGACTGTTGTGGTGTCAGGGGGTGTTTCTGTTGGATCCACATCTCCGGACCCTTCCAAAGGTGAGCTGGCTGTCGCTGTGTCTCTGACTGTTGTTGTGTTAGGTTGCATTTCTGTTGGATCCATGTCTCCAGACCCTTCCGACGATGAGCTGGCTGTCACAATGTCTCTGATCGTTGTTGTGTCAGGGGGTGTTTTTGTTGGATCCACTTCTCCGGACCCCTCCGGTGGTGAACTGGCTGTCGCTGTGTCTCTGACCGTTGTGGTGTCAGGTGGTGTTTTTGTTGGATACACGTCTCCGGACCCTTCTGGCGGTGAGCTGGCTGTCGCGGTGTCTCTGACCGTTGTGGTGTCAGGGGGTGTTTCTGTTGGATCCACATCTCCTGACCCTTCCAAAGGTGAGCTGGCTGTTGCAGTGTCTCTGTCCATTGTGGTGTCAGGTGGTGTGTCTGTTGGATCCATGTCTCCAGACCCTTCTGGCGGTGAGCTGGCTGTCACAGTGTCTCTGACCGTTGTAATGTCAGGGGGTGTTTCTGTTGGATCTACGTCTCCGGACCCTTCTGGCGGGGAGCTGGCTGTCGCGGTGTCTCTGACCGTTGTGGTGTCAGGGGGTGTTTCTGTTGGATCCACGTCTCCAGACCCTTCCGGTGGTGAGCTGGCTGTTGCAGTGTCTCTGACCATTGTTGTGTCAGGAGGTGTTTCTGTTGGATCCACGTCTCCGGACCCTTCTGAAGGTGAGCTGGCTGTCACAGTGTCTCTGACCGTTGTAGTGTCAGGGGGTGTTTCTGTAGGATCCACATCTCCGGACCCTTCCGGCGGTGAGCTGACTGTCATGGTGTCTCTGACCGTTGTGGTGTCAGGGGGTGTTTCTGTTGGATCCACGTCTCCGGACCCTTCCGGCGGTGTGCTGGCTATCGCTGTGTCTCTGACCGTTGTTGTGTCAGGGGGTGTTTTTGTTGGATCCACGTCTCCGGACCCCTCCGGTG